TTTACTATCTAGCTCACCGAATGGTAACCCCACCTGGAGACTTTCAGAGGTTACTGCTGGTTCCAACCCAGTGTAAGAGAGGAGGGTTGGGCGTAGAGTCAGTCTCATAAAGAATAATCCCGCCTCAAGAATTCTAACCGCAAAAACCTAGACGAACCTTTCAAACCCTGACCTGGGGGTTGAAAACTCTTATTTAGAAGAGTTAAGATGCCTCGTGGTGAAAGCTGCGATCCTCCCGAAATCACGAGGCTGATTTGCGTTCTAAAAACCAACATTCAATACGTATGAATGGAATTTTCGGATACTGTGAAGAACCTGTAGAGCCAGTCAAATTTCAGCAGAAACAAGAACATATAATCTGGTGCTGTTTCGAATAAGTGGGAATCATTGAAAGCAACTACATAGAGAAGATTACCTTTGGAAGAGGTACTGCTGTATCTTCATTGTGAAGGAGGACATGCTCCCCACATAGCCGAACATAATAGAAACCGGTTTTCACGGGACAACACTACAGAGTAAAGGATCAATCACACTTGGATCCACAAAAGAGTCACAAGATCCATTAAAAATATAGGAACAGAGAGATGAGATGATATAGCTTTAGATTTTCATCAGGTGACAGTTAAGTTAAAATAGAAGCTAAGCAGGCGTTGTGTAATTGGATGAACAATACTACAAAGGTTTAACGCTGGTTTCTCTCAAATTGCGGATTAACTCGGCGAGTTAATGTAGCTTTAAAAAATCTACTGGAAAAGAAAATCATTATGAAGAACAAGCAAAAGGGAATTAAAAAAGCAATTACTCCAGCATTGCAGAAGGTGCTGAATCCCAGGAATCACCGGCATATAGAACAAATTTCAGTAGACTGTCTGGGCAAGATCCAAGGAGAAAAACCTTAGGAAGAGAGAAGTGAACAGCACTGTGCAGTCCATATAGCTTCAAACGCCGAGGTGTTATTCACTAAGCTACTGAGTCGAGTTAACCAGTAACTTGCTCAAGATTATTGATGTTGTAGTTCACCAAGGTAGATGATCTATGTCGAATAATTGAAGGTCTACTCGAGTTAGACGGTGGTGACGAAGTGACGGTGTCACGAAACAGCTAACTTCGAATTCACACCTCGTAGATTGCCCTTCTATGTATCAGATTACTATGGCTGCTTTGAAGACCATATAACACAGAGCTCGTTATTACAGAAATATATTAGTTAAGGTAGACACAAGCGAAAGTAAGACCACCAACGCATGGGCAAGTCCACAATGTACGATTAACTGATGCGCGTTGTTTGTCCTTGATAAGAATCGATGGTCTGTTCGATATTCAGTGACTCAACTGCTGGATGACTTGGCTAGGGCTCAGTGACATTTCACCGGCCCTACAAAGTACATTGGCAAAAGCTTATATTTTCACGTTGTTGATGTTAATGATAGGAATTATCAAGTCTCTTTTGATATCTGGGTATCTTGGTCGGATCGCCTCGATAATGACATTTCGTCACAAGTTTTGGTAAAGTTTGACTGTGTTGATGAAATCGACAGATCGTTCAATCACAAAATAAATGACACCACTGCAGTTTCCCGACATTTAGCCTTAAAGAGTTCACGTTTTTTATGCTTTATGCTGTATAATATAGTTAATTAGCAGAAGAATGCTATTCCACGGTGTTTTTCTGAAATGGTTACTATCTGAAGTTTGTGCTGATGATGTCGTTCAGAAGAACGATGAAAGCTCCAGCTCAGAGAACAAAACTCCAGCAAAAAAACTATTAAATATAATTAGGTCAGCCTCCAGGTGAAAACAGTTTCATAACAGCCTTGATAGTCACTTTTTCCATGTTGTATTTTTCTACCTTTGATTAACTAAGTGTTATATCAACCATTTAACAAATGCCCATACATCCATTACATAATCTCCACTCATCCAATTCATAAAACTTGTAGGAACCTTTATAAATTTCTATAATGATTACGCAATCCATCTTACCAATTGTCTAATTTTAGATAGTTTTTATCTTTTTATTGTATTAAAGTCTGTCTTCAAAGGACCATAATCATACAATTGTGTGTTGACACAAGATTACGAAAATAACTTTGGTCATTAAAACTATCTACAATCACAATCTTTGACCATATAATATGATGCTATTTCTCAATTCGAACGAGCAGAAGTTACATGACGAATATATTTTACTCTGTTTCCATTGTTATTCTTGCTTAATTTAAATTCATAAAAGGGGACCAAATTGTATGAAATTAATTTAGCTATGTGGTTTGTGGAGAATCGTCCAATTTGAAGTTTATTTTCATCACGGACTAACACTAAACATTGAACCAATATAAATCAGATATTTTAGATAGATTTAAACAGTTGATTGAAAACCCTGAATGTAGGTTTTGTGTTAGCTGGGACTTATTAGTGTGGTGTGTCTGGAAGAAGTTGATACTCCCTATGAATTTCGAATACTCGTTACCTATTTTTACTGGGCATCAAATGACCTACTGTTAGAGTGAGATATTTACAATTGATTGATCAACGACTAGTAACCTATATTACGTTTATTTAGTTCTGTAGCACCAGCCGAATCCTCTCGATTAAGTTTCAGTAATAACCTCTATCTAATCGACTGAATTTTATCAGCACTTGTAATTTCTTTTTGTAAATGTAAAGGACTGTAATTGACTGGTAATTATTGGAATTATGGTATGACTGCATTGAAACCGATTAAACATGTTGATGACTATCTGAATTCAGTAGTTCAGTGGATATATAGTTTATGTTTGAAGCTACCAGTGCGCGGTCTCAATCATAGTGTGAACAACAACACTGGAATGCAGGTGCGTCTATCTGATGAGTCCCAAATAGAATAAAGAGCTTGTTATATAAAAAAAATATACATAAAATAGGTAAATAGCTTCTAGATTTAAAGATATTTCTCATTACTGATTGATATAAACTATAAATTCACTATATTACACAACCTTTATACATTGCCTAATCTGGGTAACTGTTTCACACCAGAAATGGCTGAATTCCACTGATCACAGCTTCTCACTAGAACTTCAGGAGTTATGTCTTGAAGAAAATCACTAGTGAGTACAGGGTTATTATTAAAATAGAGGGATATGTGGATATTGTGGAATTTTCATGGTTTTAAATCACGAGGATTGAATATTATCGTAGTGACTGAAGCTAGACATTAGCACCGTTAGATGCTAGCTCAGTGACCTGAAGGTTAAATGTTTGTGAGAGACCAAAAGATCTAGATTCCACTCCTGGATTCATGGTTTTGAGAAGTCCAGTCCCAGGATGAAAATGTCGTTCATTACTTCTAGGTGTTCCGCAGTAATCTACGAAGATCAGTTCGTAACTTGACTATGAAAGTCCTACAATCTCCACAAATCTCTATTTCCTAATAATGAAGTATAAAAACGAAGCACTTCAGCCTAAGTTATTTCGTAGTGAAAACAAACTTCATAGTATACAAATCTGAAGAAAATAAAACAATATGAAATTTGTTGTGATCTTAAGCTTACACTATTTCATATTCCGATGAGAATAATGAATGGTAACTGTTGGAATCTACTTCTGGATTAATACAATACATGTATTTCTACTGTAAAATTAAGTAGCTAAACTATGCGTATTCATGTTTCTCTTATTATAAACTCTATTGTGACCTATAAACTATCATTATACGATTTACCGTTATTGAGGTATACATTCTCCCACAATCACAGTCACTTTTAGCTAAATCTTGTACAAATGTTATTTTCTATTTTATGATACGATATGATCTGTCTGTTTTGTAAATAAACCCAGTATGTTTGAAATACACTATTGTAATTTATGTATAGTAAAGGAAATAGTTGCAGTTAATGATAAATCAAACAAAAGCTTACAAGTAAGACACTATAAAAATACAATGAGTCACTACTCATCAGAAACGTTGGAATAACCTAATTTTCAATCATTGATATTATTTCAAATATAATTTTCATATTTTTTACACTGTATTCTGATTTTTCCATCTCTCTGTGATACAAACTAATTTCGAGTTAATGAAATCTATAAATCGGTAGTTTCTATTCGTCTCAATTGGATTACTATTGAAAACCATGAAGCATTGGACAACTTTTTTGTCCTAGTATGGGATTCCTCACTAATGTATATCTACCATCCTAACAGAAATCGAACCCAGGAACTTCTGGTCCCCCCCCCAAAAAAAAACAACTGTAAATTGATCATCATTGAATGCTTTATATTCTAACGTTCTAATTAGACCTCATTTAAATTTCGAAAAAATGTCTTTAATACTAATAAAAGTAGGTTTTTATACTTTATAATGAACTTTTCAGTGCGAAGGGGGGGAAGGGCAGAATTTTTTGAAAGATTATTTAAAAAATATTCTACCTTATTCAGATTGAAATCTTTCTTATTAAGTCATCTAATCAACTGACAGAAAAAGGGAGATGGAGAGGAAGATAAAAAAAAGAGTCAACATTATATAATTTTATACCACTTGAGAAAATACTTATTAAAATTGTGGTCTCACCCCTAACTACGTTTTATTTTATTCTTAAGTGTTAATAAATGACATGTATTTTATTTTCAGCAGTTGTGTAACACCCACCTTCTTATCTGAAATGAATGTAATATGAGAAATATAATACTGATAATCATTTTTAACACATTAAATGATTACATCATCAATACATATCAGATAGATAAGTAGATAATGAGGTAAGAAGACAGGAAATAAATGTATCCACTTGAAAATCTCATTTCAAGGGGGAAATAAATAAATTAGATTCAATGACATGGGATGAATAGAGAAGAAATGTATGTAAGTGGGGGTAGGGCGGTTAGGAAAACTGATAACAAAAACTATCGTTGAATTGGTAAATAGGTCATCTATGGTTCAATTTTGTCTTTGCAACAAAAAAATAACAGAAAATTATCAGATAAAAGGGAAGGTAACAGAGGTGAACTGGGAAAAAAACATGGACAGTAAACGGAATTTACTTCAAAATCTTGGGGAGCTAGAAGTTTATTTATTACTACAAAATGCTAAATTGTTACAATATTTTGATGCATTCATAAATCATGGTAAGTGTAAATATTACACTTTACTTTGTCAAATATCTTGTCTATTAATATTCCTTATAATTCATCAAATATGAAAATTATATTTGAAATAATATCAGTGATTGAAACTTAAGTTATTCCGACGTTGCGTCCACTAAACTTGTCTAGACTTCTTCAGGGTAATAATAATAATCCAAATTAAGATTTTCAATTTAACAATCGAATCAGGCAGATTAAACATTTGATTTAATTGTTAAACACTATATATTTGTTTGGTGATTTTGATTATTACCCTGAAGAAGTTCAGACAGGTTTGCTGGACGAAACGTCGGAATCACTTAAGTTTCAATCGCTGATATTATTTCATATATAATAACTTCTCTATACTCGGTGCCAAATTTTTGTCAACCTATTCGTTTTCATGTTGATGAATATTCGTATAAATTCCTTACAATTGTTTAGAGAATGTTCACGACTAAATTTTGATATGGTTAACATTGATTGATTACCGAATCTCAACTAAATTATATCTAGCAAATTATAAAATAGACATCTGATTAAATGATCTATTAACATTTAACGATTTGATGTGTTAGTTGAAGATGATCTACAATGTGTCTCTGATTCAAGTTTCATATTAATTAACACATTAGGGAGGTATAATTTCAACCTCATATTGTAATATATTCTGGAAATAAGTACAGATGTACACTAGTTCAGGGTATTATTAAGTTGATGTAAATTAATGAGAAGTAGTAACAAGAAATGTTTACCGTTTCTGAAAAGTAAAAACACGCGACTTTTTTATCATTGAGGATTTGGGGCAAAGATCTCAGTAACCTAATTGAAATATATGTAGGATAAATAAATATAAAAGAAATCATGATACACAACAGCTATTTTGATGGTATACACATAAAAAAACCGTGATGTCATAATGCAATATAATTTTATAATACCACAAATAGAATGCTAATATGGTGTTATGAATACATCATTATTAGAGTAATCTAATAAGCGACTAGCTTCGAAGGGTATTTCACATGGTTCTAGTGAGAAGTCGTGACCGGTGGAAATAATCCGTGTCGGGAGTGAGGCAGTCACCCACCTAAGATAATGGAAGATGGTCACGCAATATCGTGGATTGGTTGAAGTTTGACATTAACACTGTGGGATGCTGGTTCGCACACGACACCAAATGTCCTGTTTTCTAATCCCGTGTACGGGATCGTGGATGCACACTGCTAAGAAGTACCATACTAGGATGAACCGACTATACGGTACTTCCTGGATTTTAATGGTGGTATAACACTGATGAATTTATGATCTGAATCTAAACTTAACAATTTCCGCAACCCTGTACTGATAATGTGATAAGACCTAGATATTTTTTGAATATATTAATATGAACTTCTCGATGTATTATTGTATAACAACTCAAGTTTGAAACGTAAACTATCATCATTGTAACGGTCCACATCCACAGGAGTATACATAGTAGCATGAGTGAGGAAAACTAAAAAGAGAACAAAAGAAAAAAAATGAATCAACGCAACCTAGCAAACGCACAAAATGCACTTGCATTTATTAAACGAAAACAGCAGACAATTCAGCTGTGATATAAGTCTCGAAAATTAAAACTAAAAGCAGACAGAATGAAGTTTGTAATCCGCTACAACAACAAAAAAAATTTTCATCAATTTATTCATTTAACAAGTAAATTTTAATATAATGTAACATCATTGTAGGTATATATCTAATGATCAAGCTATCTGTATTGTATAACTTATTTTATTCACAATTTTACATTAAGGTGGTGATGATATTCAACAATTGATTGATTCATTAAATGATCCTAAAGAATTTGATCAACTTATTAAAATTGTTGAAATGGATAAAAAACCATTACATGTTCAAAGATTTAAAAAAGCACTTCTTCAATATTCAACACAAAATATCACATCACATCACAATCAACAGCATATAGCTAAAGAATTTCAATCAAATAATATATATACTAATCAAGAAGGATCAAGTTTAAATATTGATAATAATAATAATAATAATAATATGTTTACAAATTCTAATTGGTGTTCATTAGTACCTTCAATCTATTCAGGATTAAATCTAATTCCAAATCAATCATCATTAATTAATTCATTATCTTCAACACAATCTATTCTATCAAATTATTCACAGAATTTCAATCCTTTATTTAATCAATGGGCAATATTGAATAATTCACAAAATGCTTCTATGTTTCAGTCATTAGCTATGGGTATTTCAAATCAACAACAGTTAATAACACCAGCAGAAAGTGTTGATAGAACTGATCATAGTTTTAGTGAGTTATATATGTATATTTTTGTTGTAAATTTTCTTCATTATTTTCAATGATAATTTTTTCCGAAATAATGTAATTGTTGAATTGAGAATTGATATGAATTTTGTTTCCAAATTTTCGGTTAAAATGATATTTCATTTGTAGCTGTGACTCTTTCTTTATGAAAGGAAACTTAAATTAATAAAGAGACACATGAGACTCCTCAGCAGTGAGCATTCATGATCCCGTACGTGAGACTCGGACCCAGGACCTTCGGTCGCGCGTATGAACGGTTAACCTTGTGGATCGTGGCTGTGCATTGTTTAGGAGTAACATAATAGAATGAAACGGTCAACCAGTGCTTCCAGGTTTTTTATGGTGGTCTAACACTGATCCATTCATGATATCAATCTAAACCTAATGATATCCACAGCCTATAATGTAAACTACAGATTTTGAATAGCTAGTTATCTTTAAGACAGTGATAGATTAGGAATGAATGCATACATTTTGCTATTATCAGTTTCATTCATAACTCTTAATCTTCAGTCACGTACATTTTGTGTACCCTTTAAGATATTATCTGAGTAGCTAAGAATCCTAATCATGATCAATGTGATCGGTAAAGAATTTCGTAGAACCTTATAGGTTTTATAAATTGTGAGTCGAATAGCAATTCCAAATTCTGATTTATCTTATTAAATACAAATACATAACTTAAATTAACTACAATAATTTACTTAATTAATACATAAGAACTTTCATCTAAATTTGATCGAACAGTTTCACAGTATTTGGGTGCTGAGTTAATGTGAGACATTAAAGAAGTAGAATGTGTTTGTAAAATCTCAGAGAAAGAATTTGTTATCAGAAGGAAATGTTTAGAAGCATAAGCAATCACTAACAAATATGTATTTTCTGGCGTTGAAGTTGTATATTAAGAGACAATAAATTGAACAAATGTTAGTGTCAATAAAATGGATATAACATAATGATTTCTCGTTTCATAGTAAGCTACTTATTATTTTAAGTAGGATTTTACCTTTTATTTTCTGGTAGTGTTGAGTTATGATTTGATATTGATCAATTAATGGAAGTTAGTATTGAAATAAGGAAATGTTTAGACCTTAGTAAGATTTCTAAGAGATCTTGATTATGATAAAACAACCAACTAGTCTGAAAATAATTGTCATATTAATTAATATCAAATGGTGAACTGTTGAAAAGTAACTAATGTTAAATAACTATTGCATCCTCCTTCGGTACGTTTTAGTAGTGAGCACTCACAACTTAACATGAATTCGAATCCAGAAGTATAAAGATTGCTTGAAATAATCATAATAACGTTTCAAACTCCATCCAATTCACCGTAATTTTATTTCAGTGGTTTTCATAACTCATCAAAATAAGTAATCGAGTAACTAATCTTTTATGTCAAAGATCTATTTTATCAAGTGAGAAGACAATAAAAACTTGTATGTACAAGTCATTTAACCATTTTCCATTAATTGAATTAATCAGCTGGTGGGAATGGTTTTACAGGAAAACTAAAACTGGTCAACTAAGTGTTCTAAAGACACTTTTGAAAGTTGTGACAGTTGCATAATCAATGTTTGTAACATTTTACTGATAAGAAACAGACATTTCCATCCCGCGGTAGGAGGGATAGATTTTGGAGAAGAATATTTGATGATGTAATTGATTACATAACTTATCTTTACATAAAATTAATTCGCTTCCTTTTTGTCAAGCATTTACTCTGGTTTTCAATAAGAAATTAAATTTTTCTAATAACCACACCTTTCACCTGATTTAGGGGTCACGGAGAAATGCTAAAGTTCAGGAGATACAAGACACTGGTATCATGGTTACTTTATAAATACAGCCTTTTAAAATGGAGTATTGTAGATAAAAACTCATCTGTTGCCAAGTTACATTTTGATAGATTACGTAAAAACTCGAATCAGTAGCCATGGGGGAATAGATAACAGTATTTTTATTTTTCGTTAACTCATCAATCAGCCTTTTATTTGTAGGTGGTTTTGAGTAGTTAACAGATAAACATAAGGCTAAGTTTCGTGATAAATGAGACCTATCGGCGAAGCGTCTTTATAATCAATAATATTTGAACACTAATCTTCCATTATCATAGTTTGAGAGGTTACCACTAGCTATTCGATCAGCTATCCTCCTTTTCCAGAACTGAGAGATTTCCAATGATTGATTATTGGTTAATGACCAACATCATGTTTGTTTCATTTTATAATACTAATTGAATTTTGTCGCTAAAGTTGCAATGAGACCAATATTCTAAGGTCTAAGCTTTCCTGCCAACTAGCTCGAATCACGTAAGACCATAACATTGCAAACACGATATCAAGTGACTTAGACCAGTAGCAATAATGCAACTTGATTGATGGAACTTGAGCATCACTAATGACTAAACAAACATGACATTGGTCACTACTCAGTGGTCAATCACTCTAATTAATAATTTATTATATTCGATTTAAATGAAACCTTAGATCCAACGTAATCTAAGGACTGTGGAATGTTTCGTGTGATCGAATTTAAGATAGTGTTGTAGATGGAGGATAAAACAGTTTTCCAGTTCATTATAGTTTATAACCGTTGTGTAGTTACAGTTAATTTGTGATGTTAGTTATCTTGGAAATTGTTTCTTTCGAAAGCTTTTACTTCTTAAGATATTCTCAACTTATGGTAAATCTTTTAAATATTAATTGAAAGTGAATTTACGAAATTAAGATGAATTATTTAATTGAACAATTTCAGAATTATCTGATTATACTCACTCATTGGAACAATCGATCACATCAAAGAAATGTCAACAAGAAGAAGAAAACATTCAAGATATTAATGAAACAAATCAATCAAAAACACAAAATAATTTATTAAATAGTCCTATTTTATCAAGAAATAATTCACCATATTCATCACAATTATCACAACATACAATTTTACATCCATCATCTTTAATATCAAGCAGTGAAGAAATTAATTTAACAGGAACAATAACAAATTCACAAATTAATGCATTAAAGCTTATTGTAACTGAAAATCTCATTGATGATCCATTGAAAATCCGTCCAAGTGCCACTTTAATGAAATCAGATTATTTAAAATTGGAAATTGCTATCACTGCATTATTACCATATTTACCGAAATTTCAAATTAGAAAATCTAACAATTCACGAAATGCAAATGAACAAGAAATACAAGTAGGCAACGTTTGTTTTATTACGGTATATATATATAATATGTATTACATAAAACATAGCTATGGTATCAGTAAAACAGTCGTCTCGGTAGTTATGGAGCAATATATCTGAAGTAATTCCAAGTCATTAGAAATCGTAAACATAATTACAAGAAAAACTGTTGTATAATTATTCTGAACATTTTAAATGATTTCTTAAATTCAATAATCTGTAGAATGAACCAAATAATAATGTAATTGACTAATAAGCGTAGTTTAATGCTTAGCTATTCCAGACCAGACCTCCTAGATAATCATCATTAAGCGTTACATGGAATTAAACACTTTAAGAATTTGTTCTAATAGTATATTATTCACACAATCGATTAGAATCGTAAAAGTATTGAGAGTTGGATTTTGAGAAAAGTAACCTAGTCGAAAAAGACCCTGAAAAATAAAACAAAATAATTGACCGGTTCATTTCAATTTCTTGATATGGTCAGACAAATATTTATGTTTAATGAAAGTCACATCTATTACATGTTTTATCAAGTTATAGAAAAAAAAATAGATTCAAGTTAAAAAGCAGAAAAAAACCCAAATATTCTCAGTATTTTAAAGGGGTAGAAACAAGTTACTTACTTACTTACTAACTCCTGTTACCCCTCATATTGGAACATAGGCCGCCCACAAGCATTCGCCACTCAAATCTGTCCTGAGTAATTGAAGTACAAACCTGAAAATGTATTTCATTACTAATCCGCCGTATATATTAGGAATTTTGATAAAATTGATGCTACCTAAAATGATATCAGTAAAAATTGTTCATGAGTTTAGTTATTCGGTAGTCAAGTTATATATCCGACCTGTAGGATTCATTTATTATCCCCTCTGGGGCTACTGCCAGCCTCATACCACTAGAAAGGGGTCGGGTCGAACATGAAGTTGGAGACCCCATCCCATAAAAACTAACACTCTAAAAAACGCTAACTAGAAAAAACAATTCAAACCATTTAAACTGACCTGGGAGTTAGAAGGTCTTCATTTGGAAGAGTTATGACGCCTCATTGTGAAAGCCGGGTTCTTTCGGAAGTCACGAGGCTGATGCCCTTTCTGACAACCATTAATTTAGGTATATTGAATGCTCATACAATATGGGAGACAGGATGAGTCATCCAAATTGCTGCAGAAATGAAGAGATACAACCTAGAGGTGCTTGGAATCAGTGAAACACATTGGACGCAGGTTGGGCAACAATGACTAGCTTCAGAGGAACTGCTGTTATTCTCCGGCCATGAAGAAAAGTTGTTCAATGAACAATGATAATATTAATTCACCGTTACAATGATATCAAATATGTCATTTAAAATCTGGGTTTCATTAATATATTCTAATATTAAACAATTTTAAATGACGAACTAATTAGAAACCGTTTATTTACATATATTTATTGTAGGAGATTTTAAAACTACCAGAAAACGATCAAAATCGTATAAATGGATTAAGAAAACATTCATTGATATTTGGACGAACAGATTCAGTTAAACGTTTAACTAGCCATTGAGACATTTTGAAATAACAATTAATGAAATAACATTTCGTTTGGTACAACAAATTCCTGAGTTGATTACACAACGAGAACATTTATTTCATATTGCACGTCAAATAGTCAATACTATGAATTATGGTTTAAGTGTAAATCAAACTGGTCAGGTATGTTGTATGGATTTTGAATTTAGCGGTTGATTTGATGTTGAATGTTAAATAATTATTTCCACTTGATAAATTTAATAGATCTTTTGAGGAGTATTTAAGTATCTTCATCATTTTAGAAATTACGTATTACTTACTGACGGTGTTGGGGTTGAAAGGTGATTTCAGTTAACGTTGATTTTGATGTTTTCAGTGTTGTTTTCTGAAGTGATCATGTGATTTTGAAAATCAGCTGACCGTGAATAAGATATATCTTTCTATTTTATTCATTATCTTCATATCTATAACTAAACCTACCCAATTTCCATTCATCAAATTACAGATCAGTACATGAATATCAAGGGTAGGTAGTCGACAAAATTACCTTTTTTTTCATTCTAAGAATAGTTATGCATAATATTAAACGATTAAATTGAAAATAAAACATGATAAAGATCCTGGTTTTATGACTCAGTGGACAGATTTTTTAGTTTCTAACTTGGAAGTCATTATTCAGATCTGGATTCATAGTGAACTTATTTCCATTGTGATAATCTATTCCATATACACTTATAAGTCATTGTATTTTTACCGATCAATTCGTTGACATTTATGTAGTATGTATATAGATAATGTACATTCACAAATAAGTAGATTACTAAATAAAAGGTGGTAAACCATTGTTAGATGATTGGAAGTAATTGACAAAATGCTTAAGACCTAGTTTTCATTCTCACATGCACTGACTTACGCCTGTTACCCCTCGTGGAGGAGCATACACACGCATTATATTCAATTAAATAGTTGTAGTTCTGGGATGGATGCCAATTCAAATACAACTATGCATTACAATGTTTAGAGGGATTACGACACAGGAACGAATGGGACGACTTACTTCTTGCTACACTTAAATGCTGGGTCATTATTAGTAATCAATGTCACGTTTGCCTAGTGTGTAGAACTAATCAGATTGTATTGAGCAGTTAGTACTGGAACTATTAGGTTTCACTATTAAGTGGTCAGAAGTAGTTGTGGTCTGTTTATTTGGTGATTCTTTCTAAATACTAAACATCCCTATTGTATTTCTCTTAACATTATATTATTTAGGTTACATGGAAAATGTTAAAGGAAGAAATTTCGAAAAAGTCCATAGCTGATTACAAATTATCAAAGTAATTTCTTCATTGTTAAATTTTTTTCCCAAATGCAATTTCTTGGTTTGCAATTGATTTATTTTGTTATTAATTTTTAAGTATAAAAAGTAGGAAAATTATCAACTTGATGATGTAGCCATTATCTATTACCGTTAGTTGCTTAATTCAAATCTGTCTGTGATATGAACTTTCTGATTCAGTGATTTCTATAATACACTATAAATTCGAGTCAGAAATCTTAACTCATGAAGTTCAACCGATTCAGGGATGAGATAATTATTACCATTGTTACAATGTGATAGTCATTTAATATCTTGAATTGATTCAAACTAAAATGTAAACCATTCGAAATGAACTGATTAGTCCTTAAGGTTAAATGCTCATCTGATGAGTTTTGACAAGCATGAAATCTAGATTTAAGGTTTCCAGTGGATTATCTCCAACCGTCTTACATCATTTTTACTCCTATCAGTTTCTTAAAGTTATTTGGCTGGTCTTTGAACTTCATGTTGAAAATAAGAAAGATTTTACTAATAAAGTTATAGTTCTCTGAAATTTACTTTAGATATGAATATACATTAGTATGAACTGACAGATTGGTAGTGATCTTTGAATTGTTCAAGTTAGATTCAATTATGACTTTCGTATCTATCTCCTATTGGTTAATAAATCATTAATTTTATTTGTAATTGAGAATTTCTTATAATTGGTGTATATTTTATGCTGATGTAGAATATTAGTAGTTTACATAGTTCGATTTCATATTGAAAACTAAACGAATCATAACCAATTTTTGAATTAGCACCACCAAATGAATCTCATGCTTAATACTTCCTTAATATTTCAAATAATAAACTTTTTTAGCTCAGATGATGAATGTATATTTGAAGCGAATGAAGCAGATTATTCAAATGAGACATTAAGCCAAGTAAGTTATGGATTTAGCATGAATGTTTGAAGTTAATTTTCATTGTAAACTGAAATCAGTTTATGAACCGTTAAAAGTTATGAAGTGCTGAACAACTGTTTTGTCTTGTTATATACCCTCACTAAGTAGGGACAAATCGAATTACTTCTGATCCCATAATGATACTACATCATTGAACTACTGACTAAAAATCTATTGATTATCTCTGCAGTGTAGGAGATTAAGACTTTTAGTCTATATGCGAGGAAATCACTTGACAAGGTCAATGTGTATTGCAATCATAAGGGAGGAAAGTGTGATATTTTTTGTGTCGAATATATTGAATGGAAAAGTAGACATTATCACTAATTCTTTGTTGCCATGGCCACTCCTCTCATAACACCACTTTGTTAATTACTGAAATCAAGCTAATCATCAAATACAGAATAAGTCGTGTTATTTGGTTAAACTTGGACATGGGCATTTTATCACTTCGTACTCGTCATTAATGTATACACACGATCCAGAAGCGTTGTCACCCTATAATCTGAGCCCGCTTTACATACTGTATTATTAAATAACAGTTTGATGAGTGTAAATAAATATAAACGGAAGGACTAATTTTCCCTATGTCTCGTTATGGTTGGATTTAGTTCATACAAAATGTGGGAACAATTAGTTACGTGATTATAATTTTAGTTGGTTTCTAGCAGAAAAGCCTATGGTGAGTGATTTACTCTATTCGGAATTCATCATAAGTGGTCGTAGATGCATCTAAGATTCCACTGCTGGTCACAATGCAAAAACGTAAGCAACTTGTAAATACAAACAACACAGAGATATTCCTTATAGGATCCAGTACACCATTGTAGAATAATCAAATATGTAGTCTTGTATACTAGCAACGAGAAACTACAAACCTTTGGATAGATTCTTACATTACAATTGAGTGTTCATGGATTAACTAATTAATTTGATTTACTGATCTTGGTCTTACAGATACTTCTTCAGTTGAAATTAGAAATGCAAGATGTTGTAAATAAAGAAGTTATTTTACGTACAAAAGTTCGTTGTTCTGGTAAAGATTTACCATCAACAAGACAAACAAGCAATGTACGTGGAGATTTGGATAAACTTGTAAATCAGTTACATAAGTGTATCACTAGAACAGTTAAATATATTATTTTACTCAAAAGGTATGCAGATCTTTAAAGTGTTCGTTTTATATATATAAAAAACTTAAATTCATTCGAATTTATTTAAAATCAAATTGATAAGAGTGTTTGTTTTAGTAACTAATTCACATGGGCAATGTTTGAAGTGGTTTTGTAGTGAGCAGAACACGGGTGGGGACAGTCAGATTATCTTTATCACAATATTACAAAGTTATTTGGTAAAATCAAAAAACCATATAGTGAAACAGAAGGGGTTTGTGGAGATTTTAGACATTTTCGCAGATTGAAATCATGAGTCAGTTGAAGCTAGACCACCATGGAAAACCTGGAAGCACTGGACGGCCGTCTCGTCCTAGTATGGGACTCCTCAGCGGTGAGCATCCACGATCCCGCACCCCGCGAGACTCGAACCCAGAGCACTTAACCATTAGACCACTGAGCCGGCACTCATTGGTGTTTATGTCTAACGTCTAGTGGGAAGCCGTTACCAGTGGGGTTCATCCAGGTCAGTTGTGAGATATCAGCTCACTGAAGACAATGGTATACGGTGGCGCAACTTCGTGGATTGGTTGAAGTTAGACATATAGTGAATCGTTAATTTGCAAAATATCAATCCATCATATCAAACTGGACTGTTCCTGTTGTAATCATCAATCCATTGTCTCACATTTCATTGTTCATGCGTTTTCTTACAAATTGCATTGTGTTCCCGTTCTTTTTTTCTTGATCTTCCCCCCATCTTTTGCTGCCAGACATTACGTTTTATAACTCGTATCATATACTACTTATATCAATATAAGTAGCACGCACCACAGTTTGAGTAGATGAAGTAATATATTAAACAATGACAATTAAGTAGAAAACTTATTCATTTTATTTATGAATAGTACTCTTTTATTAGCTGAATATTATATACCTGAATATTATACTTACCTGATAACTATCAAAGAAGTGAATAAAATGATTTATTTAAGGACCAAATGAACCCGAATGTTAATACGAGCGGAATGCATATGTAACGTTCAATTATTATTTACCTAGTTAATCATTAGGATTAAAAACATCTCGTTATCAATGAAATAAGTTCAACTATGGACAGTTTTTTTACTGTTGAGTTAAAATCAAAAATTACTTTTTTTCTTCTATTCAATACATAAAATGACTCTAGATTTGCGTTTATGTGTTGTGATCTAAAGCACTAGGTACCACTCATTTTGAAATGTAATTTGGTCAAGATAAATAGCGATTCTATGTTCATAATTGTTCAGGTTGCGAAGCATACTTTGTCAGTGACATCGTAGTCATTGTTATATGTTCAAAGCATTCATTTAGTTTGCTGTCAACATACAGGTCGTTTACATCCCTCTAAAGATCACAGATGTCATAGTATATAAGTCAGAATTATATATAACTGTTTGGATTATTTATAAATAGTTAAAACTAGTAGATGAAATATTTTTTAGAAATTACTGTTGTTGAGTGATCAAGTCCTGCATATTGACCATTCTTGATTTGTATTTTTTAAAAATGGTAAATAAAAACTTTTTACAATTATCAGTATGCTGAATGTTCTCATTCGAAACCGTATGTTCTGATTTCAACTGTTGGATGAGCACTGCTGTTTAGAAGCCCCCATAATAGGATGAGACGTCTATAAAGTGTTTCTAAAGTTTTAAACATTTAGCTAACTTAAATCGATTCTTGATCTTAACGAAACTTTGTTTTTTTTTTAAACTATCTGTTATTTGAATTAAAAATTACATTTTACCGTTTTCACATACCTTACTTTTTTCTCTCATTCAAATAGTGCTGAGAATCGAGAATCAGAAAGCAGTGAATCACATATTCATTGTTCATCACCTATTCAAAACAATATTGATAGAAATAATACGATATCTGATAAATAATATAATTTTAATTTAATATCTATTTGTATAAGACCAATCACTTTCATTTATATTTTACGAAGGACTTTTTTATGCCTTAATTTATTTCAATAAATAAAATTGTTCAAGTGTTGAAACATTGAATGGTAGATTTACTTTTTCTTGAATTTAATTAGCTTATCAGTAGGATATATATATATAGTGGTGTTTGAATGAACTAATGATTCCTTTGTGCTTATTGAATGCTTGATTTCGAATACCAAATACAGTACATTTGTCTGTTATTTCTGGGATTCTTAGTTCGTACTATAATTAAAATACTTCTAATCATGTATATACCGTCGATGAGATTTTTTCCACTCAGCAGTTGAGATTGAAAGTTAAATCTTTTTTTTAATTAATAAATCTACTATCACTTATGTTTTCTATCACCAGCTTATGAACGTTTCGAAGAAATATGACATATTTGTTTAGTTCACTTTGATTTTAAATGATTAAGAACCTGATTTAGTCCTTTGACAAAGCTCTACTTTTATTTCTGAATAATTAACTCTCTAGATATTTAACTTAATATACTTTCGTCGACGTTCAGATATATTGTTTCTTTTCACTATTGTCACCTCCTTTGTTTATCTTATGGAAGTCGAAATTAGGGTGTACTGATACAAGCAACGTCTGATTATGTCGTATCAAGAGAATCGTCATAAGTACAGAGAGACCGATAATCGTGTATGATGTTATTACATTTAAATATCAATTGAAACGTAAAGGTTAAAAGGGTCTTTTGTGATAAATCATTAAAATTTGTATGTTTGTTGGAAATAACACAAGAGTAGATTATATGTACATACAAACAATGTATGCTATTATCTGAAAATAGAACCGACATGAAGGTTAATCATCCGGAAATATGAGTTAGACTCTGGAGTATTAATGAGTGATCCTTCAGTGTTATATATTAATGTATGTGATGAGGGAATAAAGATGATTATATGAAATAGGTTTTTCTGTATTTTTTTGTTGTGGTTTACTTGAGTATACACTTGATAAGACAGAATAGAAAGAAACTGGTTTCCAAATGTTCGATAACGATTATTTCAAATAAATACATAGATGGAAGAGATGATGATTCGGAAAAAATTACATCTGAGCATTGGTAAAAGTAGGGGAATCTGGGATACTCTTAAGTGGGTAATCAGAGGGGGAAAAGTGTCGCATGATAAGCTGTTCGGCTAGTAATGTCTACCATAGCAAACGTGCTTAGTATGGATATCGAATGTCTACAAAAACTGTTTATTTCGGAGATTTATATGTCTGAACACTGCCATGGAATTCCTAAGAAATAGATTGTAATCCATCAAGGAGGTTTCAGCTCCCTCTATCAGTCAGTCATTCAGTTACAACGTAGGACCAGGCACATATGTGCATCGGTCCAAGTTGCCACACCTCACTAGCACATTAAGATGAACACTAAATTCATAGAAGCCATAAACTCAATGGTGTAATATATAAAGCAAAGATTACATATAAGGATATAGTACAGGATGAAAGAATTAGTTCGTAGGAAGAAAGATATGAAGCGAGAGAGTGTATACACCTACGCCATTGTGATCGATTCTGAGCCATGTCACCAAGAGTCTCCAAACATTGGTTACGATAGTCACGCGGACCCCAACCAAGTAGTCTGCATCTACTAATACGGCTCAGACTAGAAGTTAGTGACTTCAAGCACTGATGCCACGTTTTGGTTTGGCCGCCCTTAACTTAATTCCAACCATCTCCAACACCGGTTAGCATTGCACGTCGTGGTAATCGGTGTTCAGGCATACGTAACACGTGGCCCAACCATCTCAGTCGATGAAGATTCACAACCTCATCAACTGATTTAACATCGTTCCCTAATACCCTGCGTCTAACCTCACTATTACTTACCCGGTGATCCCAACAGATGCAAGCAATATTTCTAAGACATCTGTGGTCAAATATTAGTAGCTTACGAGTATCTCCTACTCTTAATGGCCATGTTTTGTTGCCGTAAATTAAAACAGAACGAACTACCACTCAGTATACTCGTCTTTTTATTGATAGACGGATATCTCGCCTCGCCATAGGTGACGTAAGTTGGCCAAAGCCAAACGAGCTTTTCGAATCCATGCTGATGTTTCGTCAGACACCAACCCATTAGGGATGATCAGACTTCCAAGATAAGTGAAGTTGTCAACGCGTTCCACTACTTCACTCCCTATCCTTAGTTCAGGTGTTGACGCAGACCAGTCCTGAAGCAACAACTTGGATTTGGATGATGAGAAGCGCATTCCAAACATGCTGGCATTGTTGCTCAGTGTTACCAAAAGACTCAGCATTTGTTCAGCGTATTCACCAAACAGGACTATATCATCTGAGTATTCTAAATCGATAATTGGACCCCCTGGAATGAGATCAATACCCGAGAATTCAGAAGACGAGAATGTTATTACCATCAATAGGTCTATGATGAAGTTAGACAAAAATGGAGAAAGTGGACAGCCTTGACGGCGAACACTTGAGGTTGCACAAGCAGATGACAGTTCGCCATAAGCCCTGACTCGACTGGTAGTGTTCGAGTAAAGCGTCTTCACACGGTTTATGTACTTCTGAGGTACATCTTCTAATGACGGACACTGCCACAGAGTCTCGCGGTCTACAGAGTCAAATGCTGCTTTTAAGTCAAGAAAGACCACCATTGTCAGACGCCGGTAAGTATGCCTGTGTTCTAGAACCTGATGAATGGTGAATATGTGGCCGATGCAGCCACGAACAGGTCCGAAGCCAGCTTGGTTCTCTCGTGTTTGTAGTTCACGAGTCTTAGTTAGGTGTCCGATAATTATCGAGGCTAGTATTTTAGATGCTATATTAGTCAAACTAATCCCTCTATGGTTGTCACAGGATGATTTTAACCCTCTCTTATATATTGGGACGATCAGTGACTGTGACCAGTCAGATGGAATAACGTCTAACTCCTAGGTCTTAGCTAAAATATTAGTTAACCTAATCGCTAAAATTGGACCACCATCCTTAAAGACCTCTGGAGCCAATCCATCTGCCCTTCCTCGTTTCAGATTAACTATAGCCTTATGGACTTCAGCTAGAGTTGGGGGAACTATTTCAATGTTCCATTCACACTGTCTGGGAATGGTGGGTAGTTGTAGAGCAGGTGAACTGTTCTCTGAAATTTTCCACCCATCGTTCTAAACGTTTGGACTGAGAGGAGATGAGGGTGTCATCTTTTTCACTTACACTTGACTTATCAATTCCAGTTTCTTTTATTAGTTTGTAAAGCTGTCTTGTGTTCCCTATAGTCGCCGCCTTTTCCATCTCTTTTGCTTTCATTGCCCACCACTGCTCACGGTCGTTTCTTAGACTTTTTCTTAACCTAAATCTGATTTGTTGTCACTCTTCATCATGTTCGGAACCTGATGGGACGAGTTTGCGAGAATCCATCAGTGTGATAGACTTTGAAGAAATCCATTGGTTCTTTTTAACCCTGTGGTTTAAATCATTGATAGATGTCACCGCTGTTTCCACAGCTGTATGTATGGCTTTCCAAGCAACAACTGGGTCAACCTCGTTTCCAGAACTACCTAATCGTGACCTCAGTTGTTCCTGGAACCTACATTTGGTTTCCTCGCCACTCAGTTCGGTTCGAATGGGTCTTTTCACTGAGGCTTTTTTGCGTCGAGTGAGGCGCAAGCAGATGCTTGCCCGTATTAGGGCATGGTCGGAGTCCAAGCAGGTACTCCAGAATGAGCGACAACCTTCTGCCGACCCTCTACAACGATGACTGATGGCAATATGGTCTATTTGAGTCCATCGTTGGTTTGGTGTAGGGGGTCTCCATGTTAGACGATGTCTCTCCTTATGCTTAAAATTTGTGTTTGCCAAAAATAAACGATTGTCTGAGCACAGTTGCAGCAGACGATCACCATTATCTGTTCGTTGTGCCGGAATACTAAAATATCCACCTAAATGCCTTTCTGTTTGGTTTAAACTACCTATCTGGGCATTAAAGTCACCTGCTACGAGTACTATGTCTGAGCGTTTAGCTTTCTGAAGAAGTTCAGACAGCTTTCCGTAAAATTCATCTTTCACATCATCTGAGCTGCAGTCGGTGGGAGCGTAGGCAGAAACGACGAAAAGGGCAACGACGTGTGTCCCTATCCCTTCGAGTTCTTACAGAGCCGTTAAGCCAAACAGCATATAGACGACTGTTAACAGGGATCCATTCTAATGGTGCTTGTTCCGCCCTCATGCTTAGTGCTATCCCTATTCCTGCCAGTCCACGAGAGCTGGCCGTCGGGTCACCAGATACACGGAGGGTGTATCTCGTTGGCTCTCCGTTTTGCCGAGGTGAGATCAAGTGAATGACTACGCCAGGATCCTGTATGAGTGTTTCACAGACACAGCATACATCAATGGCACGAGATTCTAGGGTTTTAGCCAAGGAAGCCTGCTGGCCGATTTGACATAGGGTGCTTACGTTGAAGGCTTGTAGAACTATGGTCTACTATGATATTAGTACTGCTCTAATAATAGACCTAATCCTAAATTTGTAGATTTGTCATGATATAACTGCCTAATCTATAAGATCTTACGTGGAAGTCACACCATCGACTACACCAACTCACTGTATCATATCAATTACCAATACATGATGTAGAACAAGGTTAGGCTAAAGAAAGAACAATATATTTAATATGAATAGAAGATATAAGGTAACATTTAGCAGAGACCACGCCTGTATGGCCGAGCCATGCCACTCGATCAACTCCAGTCCATTCAATTCATTGTTCGCGCCTTCTCCATTGTTAGGTATTTCTCCGCGTTAAATATTGAATATCTATTTTCTGAGTAGTCTCGTGTTCACAGCTTTGTGGATTGTGTGGTTATTGTCCAATGCCACTACACTACTCTCCCACCAGAATCAACGTGATGTTGGTTCGATACCAAATTGGATGGGATCGTCGCGCGCCGGAGGTTACCAAGGATAATAAGGATCCTCCGGGTATTGATAAGCTGAAAGATAAATCAAAAAGAAAGCGGCAGCATGTGGTCGGGAAATACATGTAATAATTTCAAAATAACTGCCTTCATGCTTAAGACGCTTGAAATGAAACTTTGGGTGAAGATTATTTGAGCTATAAAAAATGGGGTTACAATAATAATAATAATAAATAGAACGATGCGTGTTAATAGCCGCTGGGTAATAACTTAACGTATAGGTAGTAAGTATTTTGTGTTTGGAAATATTAAAGTAATGAATATTGTAGAAATTAATATTGGTATTAGTTTTGGTTTAAATTATGAAATCAAATAACGATTATGCCGGTAGTTGTCCATATGAGTTGAATTCCATGTATCTGTATTAGTAGGCTAACTGAAGGAACAAAAGTATACCATGGAGAAGAATTCCAACTAGTGTTCCAGTTAGTTTGATACGGTTTATTTAGTTACGAGGAGATTTTTTCAACCTCATTTTTACTTGACCGTGATAGAATTTAGTAATACTACTAATACACATGAATGTTTATCAAAGCAAAATTTAAATACGTGAGTGATGATTATATGAATTTTGGACAGATAGCTAGGAACAAATCGTTAAACATGAGTGTATTCGTAAGAGACATGCTCTAGACTCAATGTTCTGATCTGTGGCAGACTATTTATTTATATTTATACTTGCCGGCTGATTGGGCATACAAGTTAGTTGCAAGTATGCAGTTTATCATAAGGCGGAATACGATTTAATTGAGATATAGTGGTTATAAGTTATTAAAATCAGTTAGGCCTGTGTCATATTACGAAGTGATGTGGTGCTGCAAGATGTATTTAGCTAAATAAGTTTTTACAAGATGATTAATAGTGAGTGATGCTCATGTGATTATCAGAGAGAACATAAGTTGTAACCAGGGGAGTACACTCCCAACTCATGTCTATGATAATGGCTTGAACCTTAGTCAGTGTTGGGGTAAATTCGACATTGATGTTTTCAGTTTGCAGGAGATTTGCTCGACTGCTTATACTGATTATTTGCATGCATGATTGTGTCGCTAAACCATCAATTAGACTGACAAGGTTTTGAGATATTTACTGAATGAGCAACTGATAGAGAAACATACTGTAATCATCTGTGATGGATGAAGATACCAAAAAAACAACACCATTTAATGGTAATTATAAGTCAATTTGCTGACCGATTTCGTTAATAGTTTCATTAATTTTATCAGTCATATTACGTGATTGTCAAGTTATGACAATGCTTTATGACGATATCCTGAAACTATTAAATTTAACTAGTTATAGTGTTGATTGAGGATTAGTCAGTGGAAAAATAGGTATTGTTGCTTTAGGTGATTCGAAATTATCAGAAATTTATAACGTTAAAGAATCCGAGACGCCTAATTTAATTATAAATTTCAATTCAGAAATATTCGTTTAGTGTTAATTCTAGTAGGCTACGGAGTTTTGATTTTAAACGTTTGTTTAGCCAACAGCTACCTGAGGATTTAGTTATTTTACTAGTGCAGTTGATAGTACCTAAATTTTTAATCTTATTATCTAAACTATGTTCGCATTTTAGGCTGCTAATATGATAAACCAATCCATAAACCCAAATACGATTAGCAACAACGACTATGATGGGTTTATTGATAAATGTTAAAGGCGATTCAGATGATTTCTAAATTTAGAAGACATGAAGATATAGTGTAACGTATGTACGGGCCAGGTTAACATGCAGGTTGTTGACGTATATGACAATTTAAAAATAATGAACATGACCAGAAAATAATTTTAAAGTTAAGACTGCTTGTGAAACTTCAGGCAGGAATATGACGCGTTATAAACATTCCATAAGAAGTTACTGCATTTAGCCTAGGGACACTTACAAATATGGCAAAAGCAACTGGAAAACATATACATGTTAAGTACAAAAAATCATTAAGTAAAATAGTTGAACTCGCCTGGGTTATTTTTGAAAATTAGATTATTCAGTGGACGACATATATAACGCCATTCATGAGGAGTAGTAATGATCCAAAAGCATCCAGAATAAAACATGCAGTATGGCAATCACTTCCAGGGTGCTTGATGCTGTTGAGGTTTTTGAGACTCGCTCTGATCAGAACAACTGAATGAATCCAGATAATTGTGCGGTTGCCATTGAATGAGCCATCTGAAATGACCTTATGATTGCAGGGAACTTAAAGCTGAAACTCACCGTATGCTTTAGTAGTGTCATCCTTGTTGTTTGGCAATGGAACTCGAGAATATGAAATTAGGCAGGCAGTGGTCGGAAGAAAAGATATTACAGGATAGTGCATAGTTTAAAACAGGATGAGGTGTTAAGTGAAGGAACACAAAGAACTAGATCGAGATAACTATTTAGTCCTTGATTGCATTGTTAGTCAATGTATATTTACACTATTTACAGGTCATATTTGCTAGAGCTTGATGTTTAAACAAGACTATGTCGCTGAAGCATGTAAATGCTATTATAGCTTGTCAACGAACCATCAAAGCTAATTACTTAATATAGACGACCAGTTTTTATTATCGCTTGAGCTAGTATGTCATGAGAGCTAATCAATATAACCTTATGATAATACTTGTGAGCATTAATCAGAGGACTATTAGAATACTGCGTTACCTAAATATAAAATCGATCGAGAAAGTTAAAGTGGTAATAAGGATTATTTGTAATAGGTTGCGTTTCTTTAGTCGGGCTTACCAATGTAGAACTATGGTCTACTATGATATTAGTACTGCTCTAATGTGTAGTTTGTGGGAGAGGTTTCAGTAGACCTGGGACAGTGTTTTGAGCACTAGAATCGTTGGCTGTGGTGACACCTGAGGGAGAAGTTGAAAAAGGAAGTTTAAAGGTGAAAGTCGACGAAGGAGGAATAATAGGAATTGAAGATGGAAAATGATCATGAATACAGTGGTCTTGAGTGCTGTTAGAGGTATGAGGGCGGTTATCACTTCCCGGTTGCCCACACTGTGGAAGGGTTCTTCTGGAGGTGCCTGAAAAGAAAACTGTGTTAGAGGTGGTCTTAGTGACCTGAGTGAGTGAACTCAGTGCCCAAGGGACAACTGCTTGAGGTCGATCACACACGACCATTTTGTGAGAGGTTTTCGTGTTAGCTTCGTACTTGTTGAGACCTTGCCGCCGGGGACGGATATCTGTGGGATAAGGCGAGGTGTGCGTTTTTAGGGTCGATATTTTCTAACCCTACCCTTCCTTGTGGGAAGGCAGCGTCGCCGTCATGCTGGTTGTCTGAAGGAAACACCTTACTTCTGTCACACCTCTGTACAGTCAGCAGTACGACTTCGCTTTCGGGTTTGTTGCTCTTAGTTCTAGGGCTATTCAACCGACCTGTCTGGTATAGCAGGACCTTGAGGAATGATTGTTTCACTTAGTATAGGTCGACTGTTTCATCACGATAGGCAAGCACGATCACCACGTCAAGGTAGCAACAACGGTCAGGGCTCCCTGTATGGACTTGACTGACATATTTCAAACATAGGTGAAGCTTGTTGATATACGCTAAAAGAAATTACAGATACTTTAGAAATCTGTTTCTTATGCTTTACAAGCTCGAATGTTAAAAATTGATTATTGCCAAACAAAATTAATACGGTCTTTATATATTTTCCAGGATTTATATGTTTAGAAAGTCTTTTAACAGAAACATATCATAAATATATATATTTGTGTTCCTTGGTTCAAAGATAATCGAATTAGGATGTTATCAGACAAACTCACATTTGCGCTATTTAAAAAAGGACAGTGGTAGTTTTCCTCGCTGAGTAAATCTGTTTGTTTTGATCGTTTATTACGTATCAAGACTACTGTTTTCACTTTAATTGAATTTATTTCGGTTAAAGTATTCGACTAAAGTATCGTTTTTACTGTTTTGTCGTTGGTACTCTTGAGTACCTCTTTTTCAACTGTATCTGTTAGTACTTTTGGTCCTAGCAATCTACAGCTCTTCACTTTTGGTCATTGATAATTTTTTTTGTTTATGAGTGTCATCACAGTTTAAAAAAGAACCCCTCCTAAATGACCGGACAGTGTAAAAAAAGCAGTTGCCAACGTCCGGGTTGTCGTTATCCTGTTGAAAGCGGCATGCAGTGCGACGAGTGCAAAGGCTGGTACCACGAAGTTTGCACGAACTTAACGCCTGCTGCTTTCAAACGGATCAGTAAGAAGGGTTGTGTATGGCTTTGTCAACAGTGCTGCTCGGATGCAAACAGCTTGTTAACCGAGGCCATCTCACTGGTTGATGCTGCAAAGAAGTGTTTTAGCAAGCATAGTCGGAACGCGTCAAACAGCACTCGATCTGTAGACACGCAAATCAACGTGAAGGAAACTAAGGTTAGTCCGGTGATAGATGACTCACGCCCGTCAAGAAGGAAAGCAGTCTCCAAGAGAGGCCTGCCTTAAACAAAAGCTCAAGAAAAGTAGGGTCTTCTGTTCCCCGTCTTCCAGATGGGATCCAACAGGAAACACCTAGAAGCCGCAATCCAAAATCATATATAGTCTTTGACCAAGAACAGGTTCAGTGCTGATAATTAACTACATTTGCATTTATTTTATTGTATTAATTCTGTTTTGGTACTCCTTGGCTGATACTCATTTTGCTTTTCTTGATGTCTGATTATGATACGTGTCATATTGGCTAGCGGCTTTTTTATTGTACTTTCTTAGTTTGTGCCATTTTTGTTTGCCTTAGCTGCTACCTTGAAGCGTTGGACAGCCTTGTCCGTAGTAATGAATAACATATATTAACTGGAACATTTGTTTATTTGGGTCCCATCGTGCTAGTCAGTTTGGTTGAGAAACATTTAAACCGAAGGCAACAAACTTATGGGCGAAATCGAACTGTTAATTGTAATGAGATGGTAAGGACACAGAAATACAATGACATACGCCGTCGCGTACTCATCCTGTCGGCATGCGCTGCTACTGACTGTGGTTCGAATGAAGTATTGGGTGTATTTTATAGAAAGCTTTCTAGCTCCATACCCAAAACCCAAAAGACCAGATGTAGTAATCGTAGCAGGAGAGTTTAACTCTCAAGTGGGTAGTTTTAATCAAAGTGAAAGACACAGGTGATTCTTACAATTTCCCATTTCAACAAATAGACAACGGTAACCAGTCGTTACAATTATGCTCAGACATCTGTTTATTATTTACAAGCATCAACTGTATAAAGGCATCATTTGAATTGGAGATCCCTATAACTTTCTCATCAGTGAATGCGAATAGGCTATATATTCACCAGTCATTTTAATGAGGTTGATTGGAAAGCCATCTCTCATTCTGAAGCACATGCCTGGGATCTGATCATGCTACAGTATGAGCACGAGTCCGCTCGCTGGATACAAAAAACCACTGCGAGAAAACGTCTTCCAGTTCAAATTAACGAAGGAGATATTAAAATTGTATTTTGGAAAAGCTAGAAAAGCAGTTGGTCAGACTTCAAAGCAGTGTCCATCCCTATGTACGTTGGCATGATATTCAGACAGCCGTGAAAGCAGCATCGATATCTGGGAGTACCTACTCATCTACTGACTACATTGAGGTGAGATCACGTTTGGCGTAGCTGTAGGCTGGTAGAAAGCTAGGTGTAATAAAAAAGACATGGCATCACTCCCTGAGGCACTGATGGATTGAACCATGTATTTGAGTGCAGAATATCTGTTTGGTACATGCGTGACCATTGTGAATAATGGTTAGGGAGATTGAATGACGTGGTTCAATATATTTCTCAAGGATGTGGAAGCACTCACTATATACCTTCTCTAAAACCCCAAGTTTCTGAATTCCTCAAAACTGCCTTATTTTTTTCAATTTATGTTTTATCGAATTGCACCTTTTTGATTCAGAACAACAATGTTACCACATCTACTACTCTGTGATATCCCCCACCATTTTCATCTCTCTATGATAACGGGGTGTGGCAGCTCGCTCAGGCGTACAGATGACTTTGCATAAAATTAGTTATCAGGCAGTCGCGTGAATGAAGTTCCTCTCATATGACGACCTATACTAAGTGAAACAATCATTCCCCAAGGTCCTGCTATACCAGACAGGTCGGTTGAATAGCCCTAGAACTAAGAGCAACAAACCCGAAAGCGAAGTCGTACTGCTGACTGTACAGAGGTGTGACAGAAGTAAGGTGTTTCCTTCAGACAACCAGCATGACGGCGACGCTGCCTTCCCACAAGGAAGGGTAGGGTTAGAAAATATCGACCCTAAAAACGCACACCTCGCCTTATCCCACAGATATCCGTCTCCGGCGGCAAGGTCTCAACAAGTACGAAGCTAACACTAAAACCTCTCACAAAATGGTCGTGTGTGACCGACCTCAAGCAGTTGTCCCTCTCCCGCAAACTACACATTAGAGCAGTACTAATATCATAGTAGACCATAGTTCTACATTGGTAAGCCCGACTAAAGAAACGCAACCTATTACAAATAATCCTTATTACCACTTTAACTTTCTCGATCGATTTTATATTTAGGTAACGCAGTATTCTAATAGTCCTCTGATTAATGCTCACAAGTATTATCATAAGGTTATATTGATTAGCTCTCATGACATACTAGCTCAAGCGATAATAAAAACTGGTCGTCTATATTAAGTAATTAGCTTTGATGGTTCGTTGACAAGCTATAATAGCATTTACATGCTTCAGCGACATAGTCTTGTTTAAACATCAAGCTTTAGCAAATATGACCTGTAAATAGTGTAAATATACATTGACTAACAATGCAATCAAGGACTAAATAGTTATCTCGATCTAGTTCTGTGTTCCTTCACTTAACACCTCATCCTGTTTTAAACTATGCACTATCCTGTAATATCTTTTCTTCCGACCACTGCCTGCCTAATTTCATATTCTCGAGTTCCATTGCCAAACAACAAGGATGACACTACTAAAGCATACGGTGAGTTTCAGCTTTAAGTTCCCTGCAATCATAAGGTCATTTCAGATGGCTCATTTTTAACATTCGAGCTTGTAAAGCATAAGAAACAGATTTCTAAAGTATCTGTAATTTCTTTTAGCGTATATCAACAAGCTTCACCTATGTTTGAAATATGTCAGTCAAGTCCATACAGGGAGCCCTGACCGTTGTTGCTACCTTGACGTGGTGATCGTGCTTGCCTATCGTGATGAAACAGTCGACCTATACTAAGTGAAACAATCATTCCCCAAGGTCCTGCTATACCAGACAGGTCGGTTGAATAGCCCTAGAACTAAGAGCAACAAACCCGAAAGCGAAGTCGTACTGCTGACTGTACAGAGGTGTGACAGAAGTAAGGTGTTTCCTTCAGACAACCAGCATGACGGCGACGCTGCCTTCCCACAAGGAAGGGTAGGGTTAGAAAATATCGACCCTAAAAACGCACACCTCGCCTTATCCCACAGATATCCGTCTCCGGCGGCAAGGTCTCAACAAGTACGAAGCTAACACGAAAACCTCTCACAAAATGGTCGTGTGTGACCGACCTCAAGCAGTTGTCCCTCTCCCGCAAACTACACATTAGAGCAGTACTAATATCATAGTAGACCATAGTTCTACATTGGTAAGCCCGACTAAAGAAACGCAACCTATTACAAATAATCCTTATTACCACTTTAACTTTCTCGATCGATTTTATATTTAGGTAACGCAGTATTCTAATAGTCCTCTGATTAATGCTCACAAGTATTATCATAAGGTTATATTGATTAGCTCTCATGACATACTAGCTCAAGCGATAATAAAAACTGGTCGTCTATATTAAGTAATTAGCTTTGATGGTTCGTTGACAAGCTATAATAGCATTTACATGCTTCAGCGACATAGTCTTGTTTAAACATCAGCTTTAGCAAATATGACCTGTAAATAGTGTAAATATACATTGACTAACAATGCAATCAAGGACTAAATAGTTATCTCGATCTAGTTCTGTGTTCCTTCACTTAACACCTCATCCTGTTTTAAACTATGCACTATCCTGTAATATCTTTTCTTCCGACCACTGCCTGCCTAATTTCATATTCTCGAGTTCCATTGCCAAACAACAAGGATGACACTACTAAAGCATACGGTGAGTTTCAGCTTTAAGTTCCCTGCAATCATAAGGTCATTTCAGATGGCTCATTTTTAACATTCGAGCTTGTAAAGCATAAGAAACAGATTTCTAAAGTATCTGTAATTTCTTTTAGCGTATATCAACAAGCTTCACCTATGTTTGAAATATGTCAGTCAAGTCCATACAGGGAGCCCTGA